AAAGAAAGAAAAAACACAGGAAGAATCACGTCAAGCCTCGCCACCAGCCGGGGGAAGGGCAGAGTCATCAGCGCCATCAGCAACCTGAGTCTCGTCAGGGGAGTCAGGAATCATCTGTAGTTCCTCGGCATCGAAGTCGGGCATCACTTGCAAGAGGGCCTTCTTGGTGTCCTCAATTCCATCCAAGTGAGATGTGGACGCATACTTCGCAAAGGCCCGCTAGTACTTGGTGGACTTCTTGAAAGCCTCCACCGCCTTGGTCGTTGCCTTAGCCACCCGCTCCTCCATCCCTACTGCAGCCTTCGCAGCTCTCTTCTCCGCCTCGACTACCCTCTTCTTGGCCCTGGTAGCCTGCTCCTCAGCCTGGGTCGCCCGCCACTCTGCCTATCTGACAATGCTCTCGAGGCGAATCCTCTCCTCTTGCTCTTTGATGAGGTGGGCCCGCGTTTCCTTCATGTCGTTCTCCATCTTCGTTCGAAGCATTTGTTTGTCCTTGTGGGCCTTCCTAAAGGTGTCCTGCTTGTCATCGGCAGCGACGATAGCAGCCTGGAGCTTTTCCTTCTCCTTCTTGAGCTTGTCCAGGCGTGACAAAGTCATGCTTATTCTGTCTCCCAGACCGACGAAGTAAAGACAGGCCTGCAACAGAAGTTATCAGTAAAGACTACAACAAAGAAACAACCACAAGATGAAGCATGGGAACAGAAATTACCTCAACCAAGTGGTACAGCTCTCGACTCGATTTGCATTACGCGGAAGCGATCCCTCGAGAGGATTGCCCCACTCACCAGGGCTTGGCTGACCCCTTCCTCGGTTATTGAATCCCCCTCGCGAACCGACCACCGGGGGCGGAAGACCGTGGCAGACCCCTCGACTCCTTCGCTGAGTTCCTATGCTGACGAGGGGGCGGATGAGGGCCCCGTTGGATGCCCCTTAAGGGGAGGCTTCTTCGTGGCATCCCCAGCTAGATGCTCAACATGGGCCACCTTCTTCGACGACTGCTCTCTCAAGGCCCCTTCGGTAGGCCTCTTCTTACCTGCCGCAGCCCCCTCTGCGGGCTTCTTGGATGTCTCGACCGACTTCTAGGCCCCCTCGGTCAGCCTCTTCCCCTTGGCAGGGACTTATTGAGTTGCCCCCTTGGTGGGGACTTATTGCTGGGTAACCCCCTTGGGCGGGACTGATGCCCGCTCGCCCCTCACAGGCTCATCCTCGGCAGGCCTCCTTGACGTTTGCCCTCCTGCCTTCTTCTCCGCCTGGGTTCTCTACTTGGCGCGGGCACTTTCGAGCAGGAGCTTCTTGGCGTCCATTGGTACCTCTACAAAAGAAAGAATATGAATTAGTATACGAGATGAGGACGAGGGGAACGTGTAAAAAAGCTAAGGAACCTCTCCTACTGAGGGGGGCAAGGCTGAGCCCCACAAATACCAAGGGGAGCTCCTCCTCCACCAAGGGCTTGGCCTTGACCATCCCCAACACGATCAGGTGTGCCACGACAGTGGCCTCAACATCCCAAAGCGGAGGGGGACATTTCTCCACTATTGTACAGGTCTCTCCCCACTTCAACCTGAATGACCAACCTTTGGGGCAGGAGATGAAGAAAAATTTGCCCTTCCAGTTATGGACAGACGTGGGGTATCAACTGGCCTCCCACTCCGTGGCTGCAGGTAGTACATGCTGGCCTCGAAAGACTGCTTCCTCGGCACAAACATGGCACTTAACATCTTTGGGGTCAACTCTACGTCCCGAAGCCGAGCCCACACCAGCATAGCTACAAGGGTCCTAATGAAGTTAGGGATGAGTTAACTGATAGTTATGCCATACCATTCTAGTAGCTCAGAAATCAAAGGATGGAGAGGGAACCTAAGGCCGAACTCTAAAAAATGTTGGTATATACAAATTTCACCCTCTTTAGGGGTCCACGACCGACCACCAAGGTCAGGAACCCTAAGCTGGTAAGACCGAGGTATGTGAAAACTCCTAGCTAGGGCCTTGACCTGGTCCACGTCCAGAGTACTGTCAAACTCCGAACGCGGAAGATCAGCCATCACCACCCTTTGGGCAGTGCTTTCGACCATCATCCCCGAGACGGGCTCCGAGATCTGCTCCCCCTCGGCTTGGGGGGACCCCTCGGCCTCCCTTGGTGTCATGGATGCAGTGCTCTCACAGGGAGGTTATCGCCTCGGTGGCTGCCCTCGGCACCCTCGGAGGCTACCCTATCCCTCAACACCATCACCTCTCGCTGAAAGGGAACGACGACCAATTGACCTAAGGGAGAAAGGGGGGAAGGAGTCCGAGGATAGCTCCCTTCCGAAGCATTTGGAAGTTCATAGCACTCAGGGTCAGAATCTGAGAAAGACATGACTGGAATGAAAACAAAAATAGTTACATAGAAAGGACGAAGGAAAGAAGAGTGAAGATGAGGTGTGTCGAAAAGTTGATGGACTGGGAGCGGTGTTCACTCGATAGCAAGGAAGCCTAGAGACAAATGATGAAGAAAAATTGCTAATAAGGCTCTTATTTATAAAAAAATGAATGGCTTAGATCTTGTCAGATCCAATGGTCGTGAAGCCTTCGCCTTCGCTGACCATCCGCGGTATGACACTTGGCACCCAGCCTCGGGGAAACGAAAGGACGCCTAGTAAACCAACATGTGCCTAGCCTCGGGAAAGCAAAACGATGCCTAGTGAACCGACGCTCAGCCTCAGGAAAACAAAACGACGCCGGGCAAACTGACGGGCCCGTTTATCGCAACCCACCGGTTTGGATGCACAAACTCGATTAACGCGTAGACCGGTTCGCCCAGAGCACTCATCCCCCCTACGGAAGGCTCTCCTCGCGCCAGACCCATATCGGGCACAATCCTGGTGCGTCAGCTACTAAATCCCGTACCGCACACGACCCCCAGACCATCACCGCCTGAGTATAAGGCATAGGCTCGACTCAGCCGGGCCCCCCTCCACCTCGGGCTCCCTAGTCGAAGCCGAGGCATCCACAGCTTCACTTCTCTTTCGCGAATTGAAATCAGGCCAAAGAAAAAGCAAGACGAAGGCGATGCCACTATAGGGTACACTCCGTTGAACAAGCCCGATGGCACCTACCAATATCGACACTCCCTTTGGCCAAAGCTGATGCCCCTTTCGAACCCCCACCTCGGCCTCGAGAGTGGGGGGCAAGTGATCTAGGCGCATTCGGCTGGCTTGTACAAGGTTGACACGTGTTAAATGGAGGATGTCCGCATAGGCTTACCATGAGGATGCTCAGGGTTACCTGACGCGGACCAGGCGGCCCCAGTCACAGGGTGCCGTGTGGCACTGGCAGAACATCTCGCCAGGCCCTCGTACGACTTGCATCTAGACCATCCAAGCCCAACTACCCCTGGCAGCTGCGACTATAAATGCAAGGCACCCCTACAAGGTAAAGGATTTGAAACTTTTGGATATCTAGTGCTCTCTCCTCTAAGGACGTAGCGCTACTTGAGACCTCGTCTGGACCCTTCAATTCCAAACTCATCACTTACCTAGTGCACATATTGACTTGATCGTCAGAGTCCTTGCCTCGGGTAGTCACCCGAGACCTCTGACACTTTCTCCCTCGCACATTCACTACAGTGGGAACAACATCTCGTCCTCCCTCGGACACCCTTCTCAGTACCATCTCCCCCGGACCCTCAAAGCCTTCAGCCCTCCTTTGAAGCTTGAGAGTGAAATTACTTTGTTGCCCACGACCAAACCATACATCAACACCTTATTTGTCTCTATTGGATATCCATTTACAAATTCAATGATTTTGTGAATAGAAAAGAGGTTTTAGGGGTGTTTTGATATGCTGGCATGTTTAAGTAAGAGCATTTTGGAGTTCACATGAGTGCCCCCACAATGCCCCACATCATATCCTAACTGTATATTAGGAATATCTCCCGATTTCAAGTACGAGAAATGGTGAAACATCATCGAGAGATGTTCTCATATGAATTCAGCATTTTGGGGTTTTTTGGGTTTAAGGCTTATTGGTTCAAATCTTTTTTGGGGTGTGGGGTTAAGGGATTTTTTTTTTTGTGAAATAAAAAACAATTTAGTAAAATGGACTGGCGGGATCACATCTGCGCCACACAGAGGGCGCCCCACAATGCATTTGTTGGGTTAAGGGATCATTCTTCAATTCAATGCATTTGTGAGTGTAACAATCATATGATTTCTTACTCAACTTTAATTTTCTCGATAATTTGGTTTATTTTGGATAGAATTTGGGTCACCTGTCTTTGTGATCGGCAATTTGGTCTGGCTTTCTCGCTTGATAGGCTATTCAAATGGATAGGCTACGGGATTAGATTGTGAAGCGAAAGAAAATCAAGCAAATTCCGGGCGAGCCAAATGTAGGCCCGTTGATGATTCCATCAATGGCATTGGATCATGATTTCATTGCAAATGATTGAGAATCTCTTATGACATTTACTGATCCATAGGAGGAATCACTTAAATGCCAAAAAAGGGATTGTGTCAATGATATATGTAATCGATAACTATTAGGCTGAAACACATTCAATTCAAGTGCTAGGACATAAGGTTGTACCAATGGAACCGGACATGAAACCATTTTGGAGACTGATTTCTGGTCAAACAGTTAGATTGTCCAGTTCGAATAAACGATTTGTTTTTATTAAAAAAATAGCCAAAAACCATTATCAAGGTTGATGAATTAACAGTTCAGCCATTCAGATCAACGGATCACTAACCAAATTAACAGTTTTTTGTCTAAAAACGATTTTAAGATGAAACAGAACCAATTGCCTGACCAATTCCCTTATCAACCGGTCCGGTCCGGTTTTCAAAACCACTTTGTCCAATAAAAACTCAATGCTTGCATAACCCATTCGTTGACACTTGACAGTTTCCTCTCCTGTCGTTGAATTAGGGAATTGTGCACTACTAGATCTAGATGGCTCTTATCCCTATAGATAATTTGCACAGTCAGATGAAATTTGACCAGCACGAGGTGGTGATTGGTGAATCTCAGCAAGCTTTTAACTTTCAACAAAGTTTTTAGTAAAGTGTTCATACAACCACATGGTTAAATAAGAAAAAACCTCGCTAATTAATTAATTTTGTGGGGTAGCATGTGACGTGCTAACTGTATAAGTCTTCGACCCCATTAATTTGTGTCAAGCGAGGCGTCGTGTTCCGAGTTCCGACGAGCCGGCGACGGGGATCACCTGCGAGGCTGCGACCCTCACAACCTTCTGAATGAGGGGTTTCTGGAAATCTAGAACGAGATGGAGTAGTTGTTCTTCATAGTCGTCGAATCGGTGGGAGAGTTGCAGGGGTCCGAGAAATCGCCGGAGTGGGTATCTTTCTCTTGCTTTCTTGACAGGCAAGACTAAAAATAGAGGAGGCAAATACTATACATCTGCAAATTTAGAGAATATATTGGCATTTCTATTGATCAGCCCTACCGATACATTTAATCATATCTTTGCACTGTCTCCAAATAAATAGTTAATGGCTAAAGCGTGAACTCTGCAAGACTGCACCGACAGAGAAAGAGAAAGTAATCCACTTACATTACAATTGCGCGATAGCCCGAGTCTGAAGCCAACTGCAATGAGAATGGCTTTCAGTCGTTCACGGCCAGTGAACGCGAAATCTAAATCGACAAACCCTTTCGGATGTTGGAAGGTGGCTTATGTGGCGGAGATGGTATTTCGTTTGGCAAGGAAACTCCGACAAACTTATACCAGAAGTTCAATTTCCCTTCTGGGTCTTGTGAGGGTTGAGTGACGGGATAGCTTACGGCGAGATCAGAAGTCCTCTCGCCGGCTCTGTCAAAGAGCTCCTTAATCGGGACTCGGACCTCTCCAACGTACTTGGGATCGGCAAGCCTGCGGTCGCAATAGAGCTCGAGAACGAGGTGGGCTTGGTCGTCTCGGATGGCAGATTCATGGATTTTGAATTTCATCTGGAAATCCCAGAAGGGGTTTGTGCTGCCGTCGTTGTCAGCGGGCGTTTGCTGCTTAGAATCTGGATCGCCGTCGATGAAACCCACCACATACACCTTCATCTTGAACAAGCTTCTCACCTGCAATTTTCTCACATTCTTGACTCCTTGCGCAGAGATTAGGCGAATATCCAAGGTCGGCGACCCCATTTCGTTTCTCTTCCTCGAGGGTGTTGTTTGGAAGGACAATTGTTGAAATTAGATGCTTATGACTTCTAATTTACCTATACTGATGGTCTGTGCTAACGTAGCCGGAATTACGGTAATTGGAGCAAGTGTGTAACTTGTCTTAGTACTCATTTTGTTAGTACTTCATTTGCGGGGTCTTTTGTTTTTGTTTTTTTGTTTTTGGGTTAATAGCATACAAGGGCAATTTTTGGGGTTTAATATCAATAAAGGTAATATATTTAAAAAAAAATTAAAAATAGATTAACTTTTTAAAAACAATATCAATAAAGGGCAAAAACACTCTTCATCTTCTTCTTGTCATTTGTTCACCAGAGCCGTCGCCCGCTGCCGCCTTCGCCCACCTCCACCTCCGCCTTTGGCAATGTTGCCGAAGATGGGTGGAGACAGAGGTGGCGGTGGCGGCAGACAGAGGAATGACCACCAGCGCTGCCGCTGCCACCTCTGGCAACGTTGCCGGAGATGGGTGAAGACAGAGGTGGCGGTGGCGGTAGCGGCG